CTCACTCTCACACACACACACACACACACACAGTGATTCCTCGAGGTCTTCAGCACTCACATAAGCTGCTGGTTCTCGCGGTCTGGGTGGTGGAGGTGGTAATCAAGTCAAATAAACTGTGAAAGCGCAAAGGATGTGTTTGTTTCTGCTGGACGCTCTATTAGCGCCCGGCCGCTGCTGTAATGAGGCTTTTGATGTGCCGTTTGTTTTCCCTCCAGCGCCGGCAGCCACCAGCGCAAAATACGAGTCTTGAGCTGTTACGCTCGTGGGTTTGGACGGATCTCAGAGGAACCGAGCGCACGTGTGTTTAATAATCTTCAGAATCGCTGAATCAGGTCAGAGTCGCAGATTTCAACACACATTCACTTTCACAAACTGTCGGTTCGATCCCTGATGGTCTGACTGTATGATGAGAGGATCTGAACTAGAATTAGTCTGAGCAACTAGTTAACCAAAGGGACAATCAGTCTTACTTTTCAGGTTTAAATGTGATCATTCACTTAACTGACTTAAAGAATTGACCAGTTATGTTATGACCAGTCTTAAGGAAATGACTAACTTACATTACTAGTCTAAGTGGTTCATGTAACCGGCTGCTGATGAAAAGTAAAGCCGTTTCGGAGGTGAACGTGCACTGATGGAAACTTCACAATGAGACGTGAATCGAGTCAGTGCTGAGTTCATGTTGACGACAGACTTTAATTCCTCACAACACATCTGCTGCGTCCCGTGAGCCACACCAAACAGAGAAAATATCCTGCTCATTAATGCGCGGCAGCTGAGCGGACCGGCGTTACTGCGATTTTCCATGGCGACGGGCGTCTGTTAGCGCAGATACACTTTCAGTTTTGGTAGCAACCTGCTGCTGTGAACACACTCGAGTCAAATATAACAAAAATACCTCATGACACAATCACTCGCACAGAACGACACCGACACAACGAGAGTCAGTGAGAACAGGAGGTTGTGACCGCAGCGCCGGCACACACATCAGAGTCAACCACACACACTCACACACACACACACACACACACACACACACTCACTGACACACACACACACACACACACTCACTCACACACACACACACACACACACTCACAGACACACACACACACACACACACACTGACACACACACACATACTTTCACAGACACACACACACACACACTTTCACAGACACACACACACAGACAGACAGACAGACAGAGAAACACACACACACACACACTTTCACAGACACAGACACACCTGAAGCGTGAGGCGTTTGACAGCGTTCCAGGTGTGTGTAATCAGGTTCTTCATGTGCTCCTCTGGACTCAGTAGGTGTGTGTGTGTACAGATAATGCACATACAAATCAAACACAATTATTTACAGGAAGAAAAGAGAAGGAAGTCAAGTTAAGACCAGCTTTAGTGTGTGTGTGCAGATCGGTGTTGTGTTTCTGTTAATGAAAACCACACTGCAGTAACGCATCGACTCCGAGAGGCTTTTGATTACACTGGGAAATGATCAACATCTGCAGTGTGAAGGTCAAAGCATCTCCAGCAGCTCCTGCAGACAAGAAACATGCGAACCAGCCCAAACCTCCCACACAACACCTGATGAAGCAGCAGAGCGACTCTCCAACGCTCCTCAAGCGCTCTAACATTGGTTTTTATGAAAAAAATGCTACTTTTTTGTTTTTGTTTTAAAGAGCTCTGGGTTTGCTGTGTTTGTTTGTAGGTCTGTACAATTTGGTCAAAAATTCATATTGTGTTTATATATCTACACGACTACAAAATAATGAAATATATATACACACACACATATATATGTTTATATATAAAATATAAAATAAATAAAAGTTCTTATATTATTTGAAAAATATTAAACAAATGAAGAAATATATTACTACTGCAATTATGCTATTCCATTTTAAAATATTTAATAAAATCAGTTTATTAATAATTTTATTTTACAGTACAACTATAAAATCACAATACTAATATTTATGTCCTAGTTTCTTAAATTTCAAACATTAAATCAAATTTTTATAACCACTTCTTATTACTAACCTAGTGAAATGGGTTAATTGAGAAATTGAGAACACTCATCTCACACTCATGCAAATGACACCATGTTTCACTAGTTTTACAGCTTTCTTTTTTGGTTCAACATTTAAAATATAGAACTGATATGTTCACATGTACAGATATGTAGATACAGCGGCGTCCTACAGTAGCCAGATCTGTGGAGCAAAGCTCGAATCGGGTATTTTAGATAGAAATATCCTTGGTTCAAGTGGAAAGACAAGAGGTTAGGCATATAGCAAGTATTAAACAAATAAAACACACCAACTGAAATATGAGACAAAAAGGGAATTCTCTGGTAAAACTACTGGCGTAGGATCTGAAAAGTGGTTGGGGACACATTTTAAATTTCATCAGCCTCTCTTCACAATACAAAGCAGTTTCAAATGGCTTTTTAACAAGATGCACATGGGATATCAAATGAACGTCTAATAAACTTGAGCAAATGAAGCTTTTTTTAAACAGAACTTTGAAAACTAAACTGCTGTTGCAAGCATGCCTGACTGAAAATGC